AGCAGAGCAGCAGCAGNAGCAGCAGGAGCAGCAGAGCAGCAGAGCAGCAGAGCAGCAGGAGCAGCAGCAGCAGCAGGAGCAGCAGGAGCAGCAGGAGCAGCAGGAGCAGCAGGAGCAGCAGCAGCAGCAGGAGCAGCAGCAGGACCGCTCATTGGCTGCGGCTCTGCATTGGACTTCGATCTCTGTCTATTTGACACACCCGATGCGTTGTTTTTTTCGCTCGAAGTGTCCTCCTTCCGCGACGTCGAGGACGACGTTGCAGATGCGAAGGAGGCGGACGCAGAAACCGCCGTAGCAAATCTGCGACCATCTATGGACTCTGTCACCTCGTGTGCCTTATCACCTGCATCTGTCGACGGTGTTAATTTACCCACCCCGGCCTCTTTGTTTCCCCCATTTCCTTCACGCTCGCATGTGCTGCTTTTATTGGCTATCTGCATTCTCTCGGAGACATCCGCAAAGGTCTCCGTCACCAAGTTGGACTTTAAACTGCGACCCAACGAACGTGCCTGCTCTGGTAGCGTCGAGAATGAGCCAAACGATCCCCGTGAGCAGTAAATGTCCCCGGCTGATGTAGCGGAGTTAAACGCCGTGCGTCGTTGGCGACGCTGCGATGGGAGATTTGTATGCGTCAAAGAGTCATCGTGGCAAGCCACTGACGACAGCATTAAGGGCATGGGGTCGCCACCCAGAAACCGTGATCCCAGTCGCTTTCGATTGTGCCAGTCATGAAACTGGGCTCGGTCGCGGGCGCACTTTTCCTCATCCTCGGCGGTGTAGTAGCAATGATAGACGCAGGAAGCGGGTCCAAACGTGGATGTGGTGCCTACGGTGACGGCCCGCATGATGTCTACGCTGTCCGCACCGAATATACACGCACAACGCAGATGCGTAGATAAATTCGTGCCCTCACTGTCGCCCTCCGCAACCGACGTGCTCGGTATCGGGCTCGGGCCCAGGTCTTCAAACGTCAGGGTATCGGCAAGGGAATGCGTGCCAGTGGATGGGGAAAATGGGCTTTGCTGCGCCATCTCTCGCGAGTTTTTCCTTGCCCGGTTGCGGCGAAGCACTGAAGCTTTGAGTCGCACCGTGGTCTCCAGCTGGAAATGAAGCGAGAGCTGAGAACGGGCCATCCAGGGCGCCACCGCATTACTCCCTCCCCGTTTGTAATGGCCACCGCAAGCTTCACTCCGCGAAAACTCGGCGCGGTGCTGGGAACCACTGCGGCTGAAGTGAAACGCACGTCGTGAGGGTATTTCACTGGGCAGCGTCATACTTTTCTGCATTGCGCGTCCGTCGCCTTGACACGCCAAGTGCCGACCGCTCCAAGCACCAGATTGAAAGAGCTGCGACGAGGATGTATCCTGAAACGAAAAGGGGTCGTCGTAGTTGGAGGCGGCCGCGGCGTCATTGTCCGGAGGCAACGCAGAGAAAGCGGCCTCGGTGGGAAAGACAGCCGTAGGGACGCCAAGTTTTAACTGGACTTTTGCATGGGGAGTAGGGCAGAGTTGCAGCGGCAAAATGAGGCCGTGCACCGCCGGTGACCCACGCAAAATGGCCGCCCTGTTTGCCAATTGGGCCCGCGCCGCCTCATACACCGGACGTGTGGTGAACACCGTAAAGGGAATGATGACCGGTGGTCGCCCCCGCAGGATTGAACGACGAATGCGAAAGAGGTCCAGCAGCGTCACGGTGTTCCTGATGAGAGCCAGGGCCAAGTACGCCAAGGCCAACAAAATCAAATAGTTGACGATGGCAGAATACATTTTCTACCAAATTCTACTGGTGAATGGACGCCAGTCTGGGGCCTTGCCCTCTCTCCGCACAAAGGAGAAAAAAAATAATGGGGGAAGGCAGTTTGGATCAGTGTGCAGGCTAAATTCCGCACCAGTTCCGAGGAGTTTTATCCTGCACGCAGAGTCACACACACACACACACACACCAGTAAAGCCAAGTATTGCATACAGGCACCTGTCTAAGGAAACGGGGCTTGCTGTGAACCCACAACGTGGTCCCCTTTCGGTTCCGGCACACCCCGGGACCTCCTGTGCGTAAAGGGTATTATCATCGGTAGAAGGTTATTGGGTGGGAGGGCGCAGGAAGAAAAAGGAACACTAAAGAAGGAAGAGCCGCACACAATGCCTTCCAACGCGGCATTCGTTGGAGGCAAAAACGAAGTAACCACTAAGGAAACAAGAGGTTCAAGCGAGGCGCCCACGCACCTTCTTGCCATTACCTTCCGGCACATTGCTTCAGAAAAGCTGAGAAAAGAAGTGCATCCCCTTGAGGGCTGCCGCTCGAGTCAAAAGAGAGAAAAACACGGAGGAAACCAAACAAACAAACGGAAAAAAAAAGCTCAATTGATATAAGCTTGCTAATACAGCAATGGCGGGTGTCCCTCAATGGGAAACGCGCGCACACAAACACACATAAAACGAATCACTTATATGAAAAATAGAATTTATACCCTCCTGTCACTTCCGAATTGGCGGCTGAGTGGTTTTCTTCTTCATCATACCCTCCTCCTCCCAGCGGCACACGACGCCGCAGCGAGGCGGGCCCAAGGGGAATTGGGGAGGAGGGGGGGGGGACCGAAAAACGGCAAATGCACCGCTCTGCTGAGGCCCGACCACGACCCACGCAATGGTCCACCGAAGCGAGTGCAAAAGAAAAGTGTAACATCTAATTATTCCAGGTGGATAAAGTAACGTGCGAGCCCTCGTCTGCTCGCAACTCCCTTACAGAAGCCTCTACAACAACATGTAACAT